CTAAGTTCTTCATGTTGCCATTATCACGTGCACTCGTGATGCATATTACCCTGCCTCGATTTATCAATTTGTTGGTGTTCTCGTTTAAAGAAGTTCTTTTCTCGTGTTGTATCTCAGAGCACTCATTCAGTGTCTCGATTGCTACACGCAGACCATGTATCACTGAATAGTCTTCACCAGGTTCCGGCGTCTTCGTTGGCACTCCTAAAATAGCAGTGCCATTCATTATCTAAAAGTAAAATCAGTTCCATTATTTTTCCAATTAAACACATACTAGCAAAGAAATATATTCCATTCAATAATCACAGATATTTGTATTTCATTAATTAGATATTCATTACTCCATAAATATAGAAATTTGAAAAGGAAACTTGCATGATTCAAATTCTGCTGTAGTGGACTCCATGAATTCAGCACATAAGCTGCACGGTCGGTTACAACAAATCTAATCTGAAAAAATAATGATAGTAAGGACAACATTAACAATACTAGAGACTATCATAAACTAATGTAGTCTGTTCTATCATAAAAAAAGTAAGTCTGTTCTATTTAGCTGTATAGTTTATTTTTTTCAATATGAAAAGAAAAAGAAGAAAAATGAACATTGAAAAGAAAAAGGAAAAAAAGAAAAATGAATAAATTCAGCTAAAAAGAACAGATCTTATATATGATTACCTATCGTAGGATGCTTTTCAACAAGAGACACAGATGACAGTATATAACACAGTGAATTATTACAGCCATGTTGTTAAATTAAAATAATTCACTGTGTTATATTATCTGTGTCCCTTATTGGATAGCATCTATAGATTATAGCCTCAGATTATATTTTGCCAGTATTTTTCTGATTTGTATTTCTGATAACTTGCTAAAATATGTTGCAACTCAATTGCCAACAAGGTGAGTTTTCATTTAATGCAATATTGCAAGTAAAAAAAACACAAATTGAGTATAGTAACTTTATATGACAATGTATGATTAATAAAAATGTATGATCGTATAGCAATATTTCGATAAAATTACAACAACTATTGTTTGTTATCAGAAATACAAATACAATTTCTGACAATCTGCAAGCAAAAATTTAATTCAACAATATTTCTGCTATTATCATGGCAACATGACGGTAACAATTGCTAGCCGGTTTGTTTTTGCACGAAATATTAACTGGGAAATAGTCTGTTTTTTTCGTACCAATTTGCCTGTGGGGAAGAGGTCCCACACAATGCGACAGTACTCCAACGAAGCTTCGACGCTGGTGGTCCATAAAGACTTGCAGACCGGTGCCAGCGGGATTAGGTTCTGGCTTCTGCTCTTCAGAAAGTCAAATTCCAGCGGGGATTCGGTGGAGATGCCAAAATACGGCGTGTGATCTAGCACGAATATAGTTTTGTGGTTCGCGGGATACATCTCGCATTTCTCACTCGCGAGCCGCGTGAGACAAACAATATCTTCGCCGACCTTTTTTACTCGTCTTTTGAGGTTAAGATATAATCAATCGCGAATCGTGATATTTACGAAATTTACAAGTACGTCGAATCTATCTCGTACTCTTCCAAGTCAATCGCATTATTTTCATAATTGTTATTTTGTATCAACGATCAATGAAGTCGGGAAAGGAGCAAACGAACGATAGCTGCGTACGCCAGGCATCTTTCCAGTTTCCTGATTTTTTTACTTGACACTTGTAGCTCGAACATAACCTCATTCGTGATTCGTGATTCCGTATTCTGTTCCGCGCAGTTCGAGTTCCTCGTGCGGTGTGATAACCTTTTTCTAAGGATGCACTGGAAAACAGGTAAATCGATAAGTAATATCACAGTAAAAGTTTTTTTCAAAATTTTGTAGAAATTAAAACACTTTCAGAAATACTGAGAAAGTCTATATTTTTATTTAGAATTTTTCATATATATATGAATTCTAAAATATTCTAAGATTTTTAATTTTCTCATTCTATAATTTCTGAAAAAGTAACCTTTTAACTTGTTCAGATTTTATAAGATTCAATCAGAACTTATAGGATAGAAATCTTAGAAATCTCTGAATATTTCAAAATTCATGTATATGAAGAATTCTAAAAAAGATGTAGACTTCTTCTGAAATGTTCCAATTTATATAAAGAATTTGAGAATTTTTCTAAAAAGTTATAAAATTGTTAATTTAATTTGTATAAAAATTCTGAAAAATTATATGAAAAATTTTTACCAGTGATGTTATAATTATTACAATATTTGTAGACATTTGTCTTTTATGTTCAAATATTATAAATATATAATTGATTCGCAGGTAATTTAGTGTCTAACGATGTTCATAGTGATGATAGTGATATGAGTATAGATAGGATACCAAACCAGGATACAAGCAGTGATGATGAGAGTTCAACAAACGAATCTGTATCAGATAGCAATGATGATACTATTCCTGTTATTAAGAAGTCAAAAGCCTCGACATCTACTTCAGCAGGTATTCCTTTTTTTTTAATTCTCATTTCATATAAATTGTTATAAAATAAGTTAAATATGATTTATCTTAAAAAAAAAATCTTTCAAATTCATCTAGATGGGCCATCCCAGCAAAATGAAGACAATGATGATGAAGACTCTATTAATTCAGATGCAGATGAAGTTGTTCAAGCTATATTACATGCAAAGAAACTGCATAGGAATCATCCACCCTCTATTACATTGGAAGATATGATAACGGATATATGTTTCCATCCTAAATTGGACACTATAGGCGTAGCCAGTATCACGGGAGATGTTTTCATGTAAATTTGATATTTTAGAATATATTTTAGAGCGATTGAAAATTATAATTTAACATGTGATTAATTTAATTAATTCTTAGTACACAACATGATTGAATCATTCATATACTATGCATTTCTTTTCTTTGAAATACTAGGAGCATTGACTAAGATAATGGTCTCTATTCTTTCTTTTAAATACACGACTTTATAAATACTGTTAAAATATATTTAATAATTTCTTAATAATTTTTGCTTATTTGTAAAAGAGATGAAAATTAATCCAGAACACGAATGATCTTTATATGTAGTAAAGGACTAAAAAATCATCATATGTATTAAGGATTAATAGATTACTCAAAATTCTATCCTTGATATCAAACAATAAGAGATTTAATAATTCTATCCATGTTAACAAAGTAGTGCAGGTATGGATTAATAAGTTAATTAGAGTTTGATCTAAATCATTTTTAGTTCCAATGAAAATGTTTAATCTATTTTTTTGTATTAGGTATAAATATAATAATGAAGAGACCAATCTCGTATCGACCATAGAATTGCATCTTAAAGCTTGCCGGGATATTGAGTTTAGTGAGGATGGACAGTTGTTATTCTCAACTGGAAAAGATCTGTGTATAGCGATAACCAATGTAGAAACGGAACAACTAGTCAGATTGTACGACAAAGCTCACGAGTATGTATATCCATATATGATACCTATTAATGTTAAAATGTCGATATTAATGCGTTTTTTTCATTTTTCCAATTATATCGATATTAATGCGTTTATTCGTTTTTCCAATTATAGGCAACCTATATACACAATGACGATTATCAACGAGCATGTATTTGTAACAGGCGACGACGACGGTGTAGTAAAACGTAATGATAATTAATATCTCTTTTAAAACTCTAATTAACCAAATCAATATAATATCTTACGTATAAAAAAAAATATTTCAAGTCTGGGATCTCAGGCAAAAGGGAAGCGTGCCAATATTTTCTATAAAGGAGGCAGAAGATTACATCAGTTCAATGATAACCAATACAGACGCCAAGTATTTAGCTTGTGCTAGTGGTGACTGTCTGACGACTATAAACATACCTGAAAGAAAACTGCATGTACAGGTATTATAAAATATACAAATGATTTAGTAATCATACTATTATAAAGTACTAAGTCGATTTTATACATGTGTCGCACACAGTCCGAGGAACACGACGACGAGCTGACCTGTCTTGGCTTATTTAAAATGGAAAGTAAATTATTAACGGCAAGTAATAAAGGAAAAATGTATGTATATAATTGGGGAGAATTTGGACTACATTCAGATGAATTTCCAAGTGTCAAAAAGAAGGCAATTAATTGTATGATTCCCATTACGGAAAACGTAGTGATAACTGGTGAAGAAGATGGAATAGTTAGGTAAGCGATTAAGACAGAATCATACGATATTTTATAATATATAAAGATTGTATCATTTATACGATATTTGTGTTACGTTACACGCTTACAATAAACAGGGCAACCAGTTTGTTTCCTCATCGTCATCTTGGCATAGTTGGACAACACAACTTTTCCGTCGAGACACTCGATATCAGTAATGACGGGACTTTAATAGCATCCTCTTCGCATGATAATGATATCAAATTCTGGAATGTACAATATTTCGAGACCCTAAATGTCACCGAACCCAAAAAAGGTGAAAAGCGAAAATGGCTCGAACACAATCTTCCTAGTAGTAAAATTCATAATCGATCCGATTTCTTTGCAGAATTGTAATCTTAACGATAATAAAATATTTTAACATATTCTGTACTATTTAATCATTAAAACGTAAATCCTTGCATATCGTTTTGAAATAATTCATCCGATATCGTTCAACATATCGAAATAAATGGATAAACGAGTAGTGTTACAAAATGTGTGCATTTTATACATAGTTATCGGTACATGAACACTACACAAATTTATGTGATATGAATATTAATATATAATACTTTGTTTTGATTAAACTTGGAGTATCTTACAAAATATAAGTTCAAACATATTCTATTACATTGATAGATTGCTATACTTATATCTAGGATATTATCATATTGTATCAGTTCTGTTATAAACTATTAAAGCAGTAGTATTATATAAGTCCGTCTAGATGTATACGCATATAATATACGTATCATTAAATAGATTAATTAAAATCTTGGCGTGCTTTAGGAATAGATTAAATTTTCAAATTGTTTTTGCATTTTTTTTTCGTAGTTCCATAAATCTTACCTCAATTGTAAAAAACGGTTTTTTGTAAACATTTATAGCAATTGAATTAAATAGATAGTACAAATGATATTTCGACACAGGTGTGATATAAAATATATGAAACTTTTTAGTTAGAAATGTTCCTCCGTAAATAGCGAGGAATAATATCGTTTCTTCGAGTCCTATTCAAATTGCATTTTGACACAATCAGGACGCAAAATATAATTGTTTTACGGTTATCATTTACTGATGATTTATTTGGCGTAAATATTCAGGTGCATGATAATGCTGTTGCGCATGAGCCAGTGAAGGATGTATCGGAGGTTGAAAACAGCGTACGTGTTCCACACTTGCCGCATCGCTGTCTCCGCTTTTCAAATATTTATTCAACACAGCAAATATCTGTGAGTTCAATACTTGAAATCGCCTAATCCGATCCACCATCCTCTTCAAATGCTTTAAGAATAAATCACGTACATATTTAGCTTAAATGTGAGCAGATTGTTGTATTAATATATATTATATATATTGTATTACTTACTATTCCTTTAACATTCTCGTCTTTGCCATCCACGCGTTGCACTCGAAGAATGTGATAGCAAAAATCAAGTGCCTCAAATCTACGTTGTTGGCCCAAAAGGACAATCATAGCGCAACCAGCCCAATGCAAACCTTCACCAAATAATTCTCTGCAAAAGAGAAGAATCGCAATCGTTGTTATATTGTCGATAGACAAGAAAAAAAACTTATGTTACATTATATTAAGTGCTATACTAACTCAACAGTAAATTCAGTATCACCGACGGGAATACAGTATACAAATTGAAGCGCACTCCAAAGTCTATGGAATTCCGTGCATTCGTCCACATTCATTACACCATTTGCTGGTGGTGGCCCGACCCAGATAGGATCGTCTAAGAAGCTCCGTAATCTGCTGAGCACAACTTCGAATATCGACAAGCCGCAGCATAATCGTTCGCGTGTCAATAAATCTCCTTCTCTGGCAATCATCGCTTGCTGAAATAACAAATCGTGCATAGATTAGATCGAAAAAATACAACCTATACTTTGAAGAGATACGTCGTATATCACTTACCTTAGCGGTACCTAATTTGTCTACGTTTGGAACAATTTGTAAAGCCGCGTACTTCGCTTCTAATCGTTTCTGTTTCGTTTCGGGTTTTTCTCCCTCTGAAAATTGCATACGTAAATAATAAACATTTCACGCAGAGCTGTTTTTCATTTCTATTCAAATTAGCTTATAACGCCAAGTAACACATACTGCTCCTTACCTTTGCAGTAAGGTCTCGGCAGAATATTCTGAAACGGCGCTGCGTGTAGCAAATCGCACACTTCTTCCTGCGATAGAGCTTGTTCCATTAAGAGACAAAATAGAATCGTATTGCCAAATTCGCGAAAATTATGAAACAATTCAGTCTTAGCATCTGGATATTGCACAATGTCGTTCAACTGAGCGTGATAATAGCCTAAAACTCCGGGAGATCCGTAATCATATCGTGGAAGCTTGCAGACTTTAGGCATGGCTTCCATCAAAGTCTTCGTAAACTGATGCAGGCTTCCTTGGATCAAGGTCTTAACGATCTTCAAGAGTTCTTCCATAACCACAGCTATTCCTTGATACCCAAGAAGCTTACATATCGTACGAAAATGATGCGGACCGACGAATCCCGTATATTGTCCGTATTGAGTGCTATAAGCCAGATTTAACTGCTTACTACCCCAGAGATAATGGTGCGACATTTGAGGCGGTTTATCTCTATGAACGGGTTGTACAAATTGTAGACCGCGACACTTGACAAATCTGCCAAATAACACATATTAGTAATATCAAATCAATAATCCAGAATGTACTTAATGCAACATTATGTATACCTGTTTGTGGCGGCGTTGTAACAATAATTTGGTAAAAAGTCGTAATTCAATTCCCAGAATACATGAAGAGTAATTCTTCCGTATGGGGCTAGAACATTGTGATTCGCTTCTCTGAACATAGCATCATATTCATCTAACGCGAGCCACTTACTCAAAAGCTTATGCGTAAGGCGATTGACTTGCAACAATCCGTCTAGCTCCTGCCGGATCAGTTATCGATTAATTGGAAGATGCTTGTTTACAGCGCAAATATTGTAAACACGCGTGCTTACCACGACTCCAGTTATATCGCCGGATTCGAATTTGCTAATGGCCAAATCTAATGATTTTTGCATGTCCGCATTAATGCGTTGTGTTATAAGTTTATTTAAATCGATACTTCTTCCCAATAGCTGAACATGCCTCTGTTTTAACAACGTTTCGTATCTATTAGCGCGGGGATATGGAAGTAAATATGCTCCGAGAGCTACACATTCCACTCTGAATCGTTTGTCCAACAGAATACTGGCTGCCAGTTGCTTATAATGCGCGAAAATCTGTTCACTAAGTTTGTAAACAAATTGATCGAAGCATAGATTCACTTCGGCTTCCACTTCATCGTACAAAAATTGTTTGCGAAATATCGTCAATGCGTATAAGGCGCTGTCATTATATAAATCCAGTGGATACAAAACATATCTGCAAAATTAAAATAGCAATGATATATCATGGAATGATTATATAATACTATAGAACACAAACTTGTATGTGCGCATTCTAATTTATAAAAAGCACTATTATCATACATACATATTGACAATCATTTTACTGATATAAAAACTTACTCCATCATTGACGGTTCCTTGCTTCTTAATATATGATCAGTCAATATCCATGGCATAGACATTTCAATGGGAAACTGAAACATTTTTTCGATTAAACGTTTGGATATAAAACGAATGGTATTTCTATGTGGCATCTATGTGGAAACTTTACAGTTTTCGGCATGTTTTGGACATGATATTGATTATCTATCGTACGCACAGCAAATGGGAAATACCTGAATGCGTTTCTCCATGGTGATTAGGTCGCTGCACTCTTCGTTATGCTGATGACGTACTTGGCATTTCTAATCATGAAATAAATTACAGAAACGACTATTTTCATAATTATAGCTTCATAATAACTTCAATATGCAAGCCAGTGGAAAGGTGTTAAAACAAATCCCAAAATTTATATCCATCCATCGATGAATGTTAAGATCTTTACACACTCACGGCTCAAATTAAATGAATACGATTGTTCATATACAGCTATTGATTTTTTTAATCGACAAATTATACGGAGATTTTAAAATTACGCTGAGAGTGTTTAATAAAATTAAAAAATTAACATTATTTACCTGTATTTTCCTACCCATTGTCATTTCCAGATAAAATTCTCTATACCATAGTTGCGACAAGTCACAACAATTTTGTAGAGATTCTACGAAAGAAGAGAGTTTTCAAAATAAAAAAATAATTGTGAATTTGAAAATAATATTCATTTACTTACCACTAAAATTTAAAAGATAACTCCAGTAAAAACTAGTTTTATGGAACTGATCGATTTGAACAAGGTATTGGCCATCAATGTCTTTCCTCAGAGTGCGTTTCCCACCGCTTTTATCGGCTATTAACGATTCCAACATGGTTCGCACCATATACAATTGTGTGGAAGACGGTCCTATTTCATTTCATCGTAATGAGTTTCCAAAGTCAATAACGACATATAAGTAATAAATATATGCAATGTATTAATATGGAAGACTGACCAACGTTTCTTCGCGGGACTTTAATGCCGAACCCATTATCTGGATCTTTTTTGCCTTTTAAAGCGGGATCTCCGAGTGGTTCTACTCCGAAATGCCAATCCGCACAAGTTTCTCTAACGGAAACAATTATACTAAAACAAAAAGATAAAAGAAATGACATATGAGATTATTTTTTTAATTTTAAAGTTATTTTAACTATTAAATAATTTTTATAAACTACACTTACACATACATATAATGTATCGTATACTTGTATTACATACTATACGTGAAAAAGAAATCTAAACTTTTTGTACCATATTTAAATATGTTTATGCTCTAACCTTCGAATCAAATCCTTTTTATTTTTGATAGCTTTCCTTAAAGGTTCACGCAATGCAAGCTGTACAAAATCTTGCAGCTCAGCATATATATTCCTACGTATCGCGTCAATAAAAACAGTCTCTATTCGTGCCATTAATACTTGCAATCCCTTAATCATTGCTATAACTTCTATAAGGGCAAATTTTTCTTCGTCAGAATAATTATATCGTGTAGCCTGTATAAGAAGAATGGTATTAATAAAATAATTTTTTTTAATCAATAAACATGACAATAATGTAAAATACTACGAAACATATAATAATAGATTAATAATCATACTCTTTCATATTCTTCAGCCTCTTGCGGACATTCTTTGTTCATGTGATGGTCAGTAGGATGCAGTAGCTTCCAACTGTACAGTTCTGTTACAACACTAGTCCATTGCGAAAGTAATTGTAATCCACGTAATGCCAGTTCCGCAGTATCTCGATTTTCTGTATCACTTCGGCATTCTTTGTACGTTGTAATAACTTCGTTACTATATCTGTATACAATTATGAAACGTTGTAACACAAAAACAGATACCAAGTTAACACGAAAGAGACAATGAACAAGATATACCTTGCCAATTCACTAATATATTTTACGTGATCTTCTCTAATTTGAGGGAGATGTACCATAAGATCGGCTTGCGGACTTATGCTATTTGACGACGAAGACAGTGGCCATTTTGAAGCGTCAAAGTGCTTTGAACGTTTGATATAATTAAACGGTGCAATTTGCATATCTCCGAACAATGGTACTACCTCCAAGTTCTTAAAGATTCTATCGATTCTATCCAATTTCAATTTTTTCTTTTGGTCCAGCTTATTGATGTTACATAATTCGCTGTCCATTAGAAATAAACCAAAGCCCATTACTTTCACCAACATGTGCTTCTCGTTAGGCGTAAGGTACATCTTAGTTTCAAACATATGAACACAGATATTGACTACATCTGCAAGTAATTCTTCATATCCTGCAATCTTCTCGAGATTTTCTTTAACCGTATCACGTATTTTATTCTGTGTTGCCAAAAACATTGACAGATTCTGAGATTCTTGCAGTGTTTGAGAGTCCGACATTACTTTTAAAAACTGTGCAGCTCTAAAAAATTTTAAGCAAAGCGTATTTAAGAACAAGTGCAATTAAAAAGATAAAAATAAAATCTTGTTTTTCATAAATCACCTCCTGTATGTGGAATAGTCATTCTTTACGCTAGATTTCATATTTTTCAATTCGTCCAAGACAGCAAACATGTTGATGAATTTCCCTAAGGTCAACAAGTATGCCTCAGATACAAAATCTTTTCTTTTCTCGTGATGACACAATCGTTTAACTTCCCCTGAAAATCGCTCAATCGCTTTTCTCTGAAATAAAAATATGCACAAATATACATGTATGCAATATATAAAGCCAAATTCTAATTAACTTAACTTGCATTTAATCTAACTGATAAAATTACTTAAAGCCTCATCTTTAACTGTATAATTTATTGTCCCTTTTTTCATATGTTAACCAATAAAAAAATCTATGTTGGATCAATTGATTAAGTTTTTTGATTGATCACAGTTTGGCCGAAGTTACCATAAGTCTGTTCTTTATGTACGAACTAATATACCTTCATACTTAAAGTAAAATAGGATCTGTTCTTCATAGCTTAACTAGTATACGGTAATTGTATTTAAAATGAAATAGACATATATATTTAAAGTTTAGTGAAAGTAAAATAGAAAGTTTTAGTGCAATTTATTGCAGCAACAAAGAATAAATATAACAACATAGAGCAGTTTAAGCTTACTTGAAAATACATGAAATTTAGCAATTTGTTCACTTCAGGTGCTAACACCTCAACTGTTTTCTCATAGATTTCCACTCGGTTTGGCTGCTCGTTAGATTTTGGCTGTGGAATTGCTCGTGAACAGCATCTCCAAGTATATAACATGACTGCATGCTCCAAGCCTTCTTCCAGCAACTCATTCTAAATATTACAAACAAGAGTTTATCCCAATTAACAATGAATTATACGCACGTCAGTTTATAATCAAAGAATAAGCTTACCAGGCTTGCATGTACAGTCGCCTCTTCTATATACTTGGCGATACCCGTCACAAAACCGTTTCTGTCCTCGAAATTGGTGTCGAAGTTCGCTTGGTACACAACGGAACATGGTTGAGCCTCTATACAGGGTTGCTCGTCCGGCAACGTAAACTCGTCGAGCACGTCGACGTTCGACAGAGCGTCGCCCAGAGTGACTTTCTCGGTCGTCATCGCGCCGCCCTCGTACCGTTGTCTTCCGGAAGACAAGATGCAGCGACAACCGGGAGGTTAAGTGTGCCCCTCAAACGACAGGATGTATCTCTACGGCTCTACGTGCGTGATATTTACGTATTTCGTACATACATCACGATATGATCTCGAGATCGTCGAAATCACGAACGAGATCGTAAAACGTTGACGAGATGGGAGATACGGAGTCTTGGACCATCAAGACGCATCTCGAAACACAAGCGAGCGTCTCCCACGAAGCATAAAAGCTTATTGCCCGATCTCGTCAACACCGCCAATCGCTTCCCGTCCTAGTTTTCCGAATGTAAAAAATCAGCATAACACGGATGAATGTTTCAAACGGGGAATCAGAGGAAACACCGTCCCACGTCGTACGAGCGACGATGACGGATGGAGGGTCGATTGGGATGGGCAAAAGTCGATCGATTAATCGACGCTTTTCAAAGTTAAGGAATTAAATTTAAATGTATAATCTACTTTGCAAGTTGAGATCCGAGGATCCGATTATCGTCATTTCGCCTTTCGAGTCTTTAATTATTACGGATCTTGCCGAAATACAGACGGAGATGCAGTTTTCCATGCGTTACGCTAAATATAAAATGAAAATAAGAACGAGCGGAACGTATAAAATAGAATGATTTGATTTTGTGTGTAATAGATTTATAATTTATATAACGCGTTATTTGTTTTCTAATTTTTCCATGCGTTTAGATATCTGATTGATTACGTTATTTTATCACATTTTTCATTAAGTTAATAAAAATAGATCGAATGATATAAGAAGTTAATATAAAAATAGAATGATAAAAGACTCTTAAGAGTCTGGTCTTTATCATTCTATTTTTATTAACTTAATGAAAATGTGAAAAAATAACGGAATCAATCAATTTCCTCTGAAGTAATTAATCTTTATTTTTTAATATTGGGAATCTTCTGTTACTGATAATAGGCGAATTGTTAATTTATCAATTGATCAATCGCGTTGTGCGCAAATATAATTTTGTTTCGTATGCGTATATAGTCTGATTCCGGCCTAAAACGGAATGCACCTACAACCATACTGCTCTTAAAATAGAAAGAGACGCAACGGGTGCTGAACATCACATAAATTGTTAATTTCCGGCTTCAAGCTACGGACAGAATGTTTGATCTATATGTATATATCATGGTGAAATTAGAAAGGTGCAATATATGTTGCAATATACGTTTGTTTCAATTCAACTTACTGTACTACGTGTAGTTGGTGCAGTATTCACTCCAAATTCACCACTACAAACTTTCTGTTTTTCCACTCTATTTTCTGTTTTTTGCATTAAACTGCACTGTTACAATTCTTTTTCTCGTTTTCAACAAATATCAAGCACACACTTTTCTCACTTTAAGTTCCAAAAGTGTACACTAGTTTAGCTACAGAAAACAGATCTCAGGAATGTATTTGGTGCAGTCACTGCACTGTAGTGTGCATTACAAAGAAATGACAATAGCTCTGTCGATCTGTCACTGTTCGTAACGAGGAGAATGGAGATTCACTGATAAGGGATGTATGTACATTTGCATACGTGGATACACATCGACAAGGGCTTACTAAATAATTTTAACTCACAGACAAGAAGAAAATATGTGAAATAAATCATTCGGAGAAATAAGTTCTTTATTGTTGTTTTTCTATTTTTTTTTTATATCTCCCAGTTATCTTATTTGTGCCGTCAGTCGCTGTCAAAATAAGGCATGAAACTCGAAGGAAGTCACGGCCAGTGTCATTCCATAACAATCTAATCACCGTGTTGTGCTCTTCTACAGGACGGTACTGTTGAGACAAGAACTATGACGAACGAAATATCGGTGAACGTTTTGACATTGAATTGTTGGTAAGCATATTCTGATGAAATTTTTACTTATTTTATAAAACGCATTCCCAAGGCTCTTATTTTATAATTCTTGACGATAGTGTCGAATTACATATTGTTATTACATATTTTTATCATGTATAAAACTCTTGCAACAATACTATAACAATATCATAACTGTCATTAAGAATTGTAGAATAGGAGCCTAAAGGGTGAATTTTAATTCATATTCTGTTGCTTCTGTTTTGGTAGGGGTATACCATATGTGTCAAGAAATAAGAATGAACGTATGTCCGCTATCGCAGAAAGATGTATCAGTAGGGAATACGATATAATCTGTTTGCAAGAAGTTTGGTCTATCGATGATTTTAATCAGATAAAAACAAAAGCACAGGAAGTGCTTCCCCACTCGCATTATTTTCACAGGTATAGTTGTACGTCATCTCTGTCATCCAGACCAATTTGAATTGTTTACTAAATAATTGTAATCTTACATTTCTTGCATAGTGGAGTCTTGGGATCAGGAATATGTATTTTGTCAAGATATCCCATTCATGATGTTATGTTTCACAAATGGCCTTTAAATGGTTATGTTCATAAGATACACCATGGAGACTGGTTCGGTGGCAAAGGAGTTGGGCTGTGCAAAATAAAAGTGTTTAACATGTATATCAATGTTTATATCACACACGTATGTTCATCTAATAAACTTTTTCGTTGCTATTTAATCATGTATAAAATATCCTTTTATGTGTTATAAATAATGTAATGTATAATTAGACAATTTATGATGACTTTTAAAGGATATTAAACGTTCACTGTTTTTATTTTGCAGTTACACGCGGAATATAATCGCGAGAATGACGAGTACATGGCTCACAGAGTGCTACAAGCGTTTGATACTGCTCAATTTGTAAAGATGACGAGTGGCGGCGTGGATGCTGTCATATTTGCGGGCGATCTTAATACAGAGCCTCAAGACTTAGCTTACAGAATTATACGTGGTGTTTCTGGTTTAACCGATACGTGTCCTGATAGTCAGAACCACATAGGGACCAACGAATGTGCCAATAATAGTTACACCAGCTCAAAACTTGCTCGAACGCAACCAGATGGAAAGCGTATAGATCACATCATGTATTTAGGTTCGAAGATTGTGAAGGTAAAGGATTAATGCAACTAATGTGAAAATATTATAATACGATGTATAATAATACATTAAAACTTGTAGGTTGAAGTTACAAATTTTGGACATCCCTTGCCAAATCGTGTGCCATATAAGAATTTTAGTTATTCCGACCATGAAGCTGTGATGGCTACACTTAAATTCACTAATGGTAAGCGATGTATTTAAATATTCCACATGTATTATGCACATACATAAACATTTATCTATTTTTTTTATTTATTTCTTCAATTAATAGTTTAGATTTATATATTTGTTTGTGCAGATAAACATGATGCGAAAGATCTAAATATTATCGATTCCCTGAAAGAAGCAGTAGAAATTTGCGAAGAAGCATTGAAAAGTGTACAACGCCAACGTTTTTGGTATACATTGTCAACCTGCATGCTAATCATTCCATTAATTTGGATCATTTGGCTAAATTGCATGAACATATCTTTAGCTGCAGATATTGGTTTGAATATAGTATGTATTCTTCTGACTGCATTATTATGCTACACTGTATTTATGAGCTCACTATGGAATTGCGCAGAGAAGAATGCATTAAGAGCAGGACGTTTAGCTATAGAAATTTACATGACACATTTGGATAATAATCAAAACTAAACGTCAAATTTCTACAACAATACAGATCTAGTAAACTACCAATTAACAATAACGTATAATCAATATTATAATTTCACACTCGACAATATAAATGTAAAATGCATCACATGTTGTACATAACAGTTACATTAAGTGTAAAATTATAATATTGATTTTATGTTACTGTGTTAATTGGAGTTTACTGGATATTGTAATACTTCCAAAAGAGAATTTAACATAACGTAAAAATTAATAACGCTCAAATAAAAATTTTGTTAAATAAAAAATATATATTTAATATATATATATATGCTATCATGTATATAAATAAGGTAATATTCGTTTGCATTTATATATTATATTTATCGTGTTATGATTTTATTATTAAATAAAACTTGGAATCAATATAAGTTGAGTTAAAAAAACAAATTAGTATGAGAGTACTAAAGTATGAATACTAAAGTTTAAACTCTGTGAGATTGTAATGATTGTTTTTTCTTAATTCGTTATTGACAGAGTTACAATTGTGTTACATGTACGTTTACTATCTTTTTTTACTAAATGTCTAGACATAGACATTTATAATATTACTGATTGACCAACTATATGAACTATGCATATCATTTCACAGGAATCAACATTGTGGTAAAATATATCTATTTACATATGCATGCATTTATACTTCCATTATAATGTTGAAATTGAGTTTAGTTCTTCAAATCCAGTCTTTCAAGCGTAACCGCATTTCGTTTTATACGAGTTGCGTTTCACATTTTCTGATATCGATACTATGATAATTAAATAACATATTTTATGTATAGGTTTATAAAATTTTCCAAGATAATCAGTATTTTCTCAATATGGCATTATATATTTTATTATAATTATAATACAATACTATAAAACGAATGGTTATTACCTTTCAAATTTCCTACAAGCTGTATGGAATCTCCATATACATTATGTTGCATGGGAATGTCTTTTATTTATTATAAATGTATTCAAATACATATAGAAATATTAATTCTATATGGTCCTTATGCACATGTATACCATTCGTAAGTCATTATATACAATTTAGATACACATAGAATAAAATGCTTCTAATAAATAGTGTTTACATAAGAATACGTACACATATATATATATATTTATATTTATAATATTTATAATATATATAATTGACTAAGCAGTGTGTAGCCAAACAAAATTGATATGAACGCTCAAAACATGGCTGGTCTTGTATAATATAGCTTTCATAAATTTGCTTCCGTCTCAGTGATATTATCTAAAAGAATATTTGTAAATTTGTTTTGTAATGATAAAATTGCCTACATTTTCTCAGACGCTCTTTGGTTTTCTTTTCCTTCACAGTACTTAGGGCAGTTGCTCCACATAATTCTTCGGCACTAAACCCGTTTTACCATTTAATGTACCTTCCAGCCAACCTGGCTCCAAAGAGGCCTTAACTGTAATAATACATTTTGTTACATGCCTCTTTCAAATCTCTATAAAAATCAATACTTTCGTGTCGCTCTTACCATTTGTGATAATTTGATTTGGTTCAAATGATAATTCGCCATCGTTTTCCGCCATACACGCATATAAGGTTCGCACTCTCCTGAGAATTTATACAAACTTAGAGTCTCAATCTTCCTAAATCTTATGTATAGAATATTTACCAAATTCCTGGAATTTGACCAGGACTCGAACGTCCACTACCGGGTGAAGTGTTGATGCTGTAATTATGTATAAGATCATGATAATAAAAAATATTTATTGAATAAAAAAGTAGATTTTGCCAATGAAAGAATTGGGATATCTTACGGACATATCGATGACGAATTGCTACGCTGAGGATAAGCCGTGGGATAGTGCACGGATATCATGGTGCCACGTTTTTGCTTTATTGGTAATTCGCCTGTAAAGGGATGAGGATCCGAGGCTATTGATTCGCTCGAACTACTCGTGTTGCCACCACTTAGAACTGAAATAATAACATTTTCGTTCAGAAGAAATATCGACAGGTACTAGAAATTATTGTGAAAGAATATAAGAAAAAAGAATAAGACCTTTGTCAGTTGAATGATACATAAGATTCGCGTTAGTCAATTTTATGCGACCGCTGCTGGTACCACCGCCGCGACTATCCAAGTACGACGGTATACGATGACCTGTGCTATCAAGATCTTCTCGATCATAATCTCCATTATTTCTCTCATCAATAGTGGGCGACTTATTAACAGTTAAAGGCTGGCCGTCGTAGTAAGCTCTTGTAACGAGCTATATAGATAATATATAAATATATATACTGAATATACGTAACGATGAAAGAAAAGACAATGCTACAAACTTACGTGCGCGTGTGATGACGCGGGTGTAACTGTTGTATGTACCGCTGTGTGTAGCGGATATCTTAAAAATGCCGTTCCATTACCCGAGGAAGTTGGACCTTCTTCCATTTTAATGCATTGCGATTTACTTGGGATAACAGTGGCTTGTAGCGTGGACTGCGCTGCTACTGCGCGCTGCAAAGAATCTTGGGGTGGTCCAGCTACTATTCTTTCATAATTCTCAATCAATATTTCAACAACAATATTGTAAAATTTAATGTCCATTATAGAAGCTACTGTTTCTTCTTCTGGTCGTAATAAAGTCGGACCAAAACACACCGCCAAGTTCCCCACAGTCATCAGATTTTTATCACTTTTTTTTGCCACGCTGAAAATTTTATTCAAGTTTAAATAAAATATAACAAAAGTAAAATATTTTTTTTTATATTAAATCTTCGAGTTGAGATAAACAAGTAAAACTTAGAAGTATATAGTAAATAAGCGCTAAAAAAATTCTATAAATTAATAATATTTCTTACCTGCAAAGATGAGTAATAAGAAGAATCAGCATATTGAAATTGGGTTTAGGCAATCGATAAACGAGGTTGTGTATATCATTTATCCGAGTTTCCTTCATTTCCTGTTCTGTTAAATACCATAATGTAAAAATTACAATAAAACTTTAGTTTTATACAGAAAGAATGTTGAAAATAATAATAGGGAGGGCGAACTGAAGTGTTTGAGAAAAACGGAGAGATAGAAGGAAAAAAGCAGATCTATCGTGGAATCTTTTTAATCTCCGAGAATAGATACAATAGCAAAAATAAAATAAAACAATATATTATCAAGAATACCTATACGCACTCGCAGCTGTAATGAAGCTATTGTAGTATCGGAAAGTCATTAATGGCTCGGACAATGTTCTCAGGTAAGTTTTGAGTGCACTGGTAATAGTTTTACTCTCCCATTCAAAACGATCGCTTAAGCTGAGCTTATCCACTTTCCTCTTATCGAGACCCATTGTTAAAAGTTTATTTACTTTAGAAGCAACTCCGACCACTCTGTATAAACCTTGTTCTTCTAGTCCTGTCGACAATTATTTAAAATTAATAAATTAATGATATTATCAATGATATTTTAGATGGATAGAAAGCTCGATTAACTGAGGAAAAAGTCAATTGTATCACCTCTATCTTCGAGTGCCGCAATACATTTCGATACGAACGTAAAACCAGTTTCAGCCAATGTCATATCTTCAGGTCTCGTGGAAGAACCTAATCGTGGACAGGTCTGGAAAATGATTACATGATTGTTACACGCAATTTCGTTTATGAAAGATAGAAAAGTAGTAAAAGCGACCATTTGAATATCATTGAAATGTACAAAGATTCTCACAGGTTCCTTCCCATCCATAGCATCCATCCATAACTTCCTATCCTCTTCGGAAAGCGCTTGGAATGTATATATTACACTAGGTCTGGAAAAACAGCAGAGAGGCTTCTTTAATCATTTTTCATTCATGGTAAAATAAAATAATTATATGTTAAACATACAAATTCAACGTACTTATCTATGGCAGTGATGTCAAAGCAAAATCTTTTTTCGATAGTGTCCGATGTTCGTCGTATACAAGACCACAGTGTAAGGGTTTCCTTACCACTCTATAAAAATAAAATATTGAGAAATCATTCTGAAGATTCTTAATAACACATATTATACATATTAATAATTAAGTTTCCACTTCACTTACAAATTTTCCCGTGAGTTGATTATAAGGGATCATAGTGAATTCTTTCCTATCCTTTTGATATGTGCAATACTGTTTTGTCCATGTTGTACCAAATGCTTCTGCAAACATGTTTCTTTGTAGTGCACATAGTCAGTGACATTCATAATATAGTATTTATAAGATATTTATATTAAGACTCACTAAATAATCAGTTTTCACCAAAGAACTTTTTTATACTACAATGAACTTACTTTTCTCCATTAGGAATAAATATCCTTCGCGCGAGTGTAATTTGTTGAGACCACTTTCTACAGCGGACTAAGAAAAAAAAGATGATATGGATGAATGTAGAAAGCACTTAAAAAATCCATAATTACTAATAAATAACGGTCAATATTCAATGCTTAATTTTTAATACTTGCACTTAAAATGACAGAATAAAACTACAAAATAACGTGTTTCTATATATCTAATTTTTACTAAGTAATTAAGAGAAAAAATACAAAAATTACTATGGTAACATACCTTTTTCATGTCCTTCATTTTATTCATAAGTGATTCAGTTTTATCCCGGGTAGCAAGGAAATTCTCTCTAGTCTTGTGAAACACACGCGCACACACACAAATAAAAATTAGTAAGCGCTTATTCATGCTGTTATAAATCTTATTATATTGGTACTTTATAGAATAATTTAGTCGCGAATGTTACAGATTTCATTTATCAATGGCTATGTTTTCCCGTATCCTTATACCAATTCCAAAAGGAAATTATAGTAAATATTTAATAATGTATTTTTCTGCTATACATTCCATTTTAATGTAATATAAATACAAGTTAAACTTACTTTATTAGCAATTATATAGCACGCGTTATTTGCAGAATTCTATATTTTAAATTTTATTAAAATTACTTTTCAATTAATTACTAAATTATGAATTGTTAACTTATGCAATATGTAATTTTGGTTTAAACTGGAAAAGGAGAACTCTCATTATCAATAATATTAGAAATACTATAGAGCAAACATGTATCTA